GGAGGAGAGAGGGAGGCGCAGCAAGCGCACCGGTCGTGTATGATGAGGTCACGAGTGCAAGAAGCACATGGATACAGAACATGACCGTCACCAGCAGTGCAGGAGGGCGTGGGGGAGGTCGTCAGTAAAGCGCAGGGTGGACCGGGACAGGATGTGGTCGACAAGCAGGCGGCAGAGAAGAGGAAGGGCGGGGTGCGGGGATGGCAGAAGGGGGGAAAGTGCGAAGGCGGAGGCGCTGTCAGGAAGGCTCTTGACACATCCCGATTCCGTCAGGCGTTCCCCTGAGCGATATTGTGCAGGTCGCCATGTCTCTCCAGTCCCTCTCCGTCCTTTGTCTCGTCCTGTGCTTCGAAACAGCTGCCATGGCTCGACAATAGCGAATCAGGCCGGCCCAGCTGCTGACGTACCCCATGCCAAGTGCAGCATGGAGACAGCTGCAGTGCACAGTGCTGCTGAGTGCTGTGCTCATTAGGTGGCCAGCGATGATCATCCGCAGTACTTTCTAACCGTCACGATGCAGACGAGCAGGCCGGTGCAATGCCACTGATTGAGCGAGATAGAACGATGTGATAGAGCAATACAAATAGTTAGCTAAGTGAGCGCAACGGAGTGAGGTATGTAAGACTACAGGTCATAGCATGGGCGGGAAGGAGTACAGTCTATGACAGAATACACGTTAGCATGAGCAGGGAAGATGTGGTGTCCATGGCACAGAAACAGGCAGTGATGTATCGTTATGCGCCCCCGCGATCAGTGCGCGGACGTGCAACATGATTGTCCGACCACGAGCGGGACAGCAGGTCGAGCATCGATCCCGACGCCGACTGCGACGACCGATGCAAAGGGCGCGGCGACGGCGGCGACGGTGAAAGGCGGTCCGGGCTCGCTGGGGGTGGTGGAAGTCCGGATACTGACCCACCGCGGATGCGCGAGCGACTCGAGCTCCCACCGCCGTGAGAGTGGAAGAGAGACATGAATGGAAAGCGTTTGCGCGGTGATTCCGCGCCCTCTGTAGGGCTAGGAGGGCTCGAAGATCCAAGCGCGCTGCTCGGACTGGATGGGCTTGATGGACTGGGCGCGGAGGAGCGGCCTGGGATACTGACCGCAGGGGGGCGCGGTGAAAGCACTGGAGAGGCCGGAAGCGGAATGTTAGCAGGACTTGGGGGCATATCGGGTGAGCGGCTCATCGATATCGCAGCCTCGTAAGATGGGACCTCCTCGAGGTACGGGATGGGCGAGGTCGATGTCGTGCGGAGCGGAATAATGGGGATAGGTATGGGAGATATCGCAGCCGACGGGCTCGGACTCCGAACGACGTCCGACGCGTCCGTCTGCCTGGCGAATACGGGGGAAACAGGAGAGACGGGAGGGGTCGGATACACTGAGCCCCCGATAGGTAGACCGTTCGCAAGTGTAGGGCCATCTTCAGCCACCGGTGTCATCACGGTGATTGGTGTCTCATCCTCCAGCTCCTCGGCACCGCTGTACCATGGGAATGAGTGACGCACACGACATGCATGTGTACGCAGAGGACATACCGGTCAATCACCACCTCGGACTCTCCCGGTTCCTTGGTGTACATAGGCAGCGTGCGTGTAGATCCCTGACTGCTACTGCGCTGGATCTGCCCGGGACGAGGACCACGGCCCCTCGCAGTGCCTGACGGACTCGCAGCGGGATTCGCGGGAGTGCTGCTGCTCGCACCATTTGATGTTGCTCCGGCGGTGGAGGGACGCACGATGCGAGTGCCTTCGAGCCCGGACCGCGTGGCAGAGGGGCGACTTACGGCGCCGACACCATTGCCTCCTGCGCTTCGCGGTCTCCTGCTGCTCGACCTTGTCTCTGGCCCCAATCCTGCTAGTTCCTCGGCTGTGATCTCTCGCGGCCTGCTACGGTTCCTGGTACTCAACAAACGTGAACTGGAGCCTGAGCTCGAGCCCGAGCCGCCTCCACTTCCGGACGCAAGTAGCTGGTCCGCGGTGAGCACTATCGCCTGGCCCGAGCGGGCACGCGCCTTGGCTGCCTGCAGCGTCCGTACCGGGAGCCCTGTCCGCAACACTTCATCTGCCGTCACACGTTCTCGAGCGACCCGACGCGGCGAAGGGGGGCGGGCCACTGCACGGGGCGCAGGTCGTGGAGGGCGGGAGGGAGGGGGCGATCGCGTGGGTGTTCTCGACGACGATCGGGAAGACGGACCAGCTATCGTTAGACTTGGTCCAAGGAGCTCCTCGACGGTGATGACTTTGGGGGCGTTCTTACGAGCTTTCGGAAGGCGTGCTGGAGTGAGGTCCGTCCCGAGCAGTTGGTCTGCGGTCAGCTCGAGTCGAGTGACGCGCGATTGGGCGGACATGTCGCGCGATGTGTGGGAGATGGTGGGCGGTGGGTGTGGAAGTACAGCCGGCTGTAGTACTTGAGCAGGAGTCGTGTGAGATATGACTAAGTAGCAGCAGAGAGAAGACCGAGAGTGGACCGAGAAGACAAAACGGTAAACCTGAGGCCTGAGGGGAGAGAGCAAGGACGACGGGAGCTGGGGTATATGGGGGGTATCAGGAGCAAGGGGTCGGGACAAGCGTGATAATTACTTTATGACGAGTGCTAAGCACGGGCGTTACGTTCGGCAGCGATGGAATGGGATCTTGATCAATCGAACGATCGAAGGCTTGGCGAAGCTGTGCCCCGCCAGAGTTTAACAGAGTCTAACGTCTACTTCCACTCAACGCTGCAATTGTGTAGAGGCCCTGAAGGGCTCTGAGTTATACTCAGAGAGTATCTGAGCAGCACAAGAAGACCTCACGGACTCGAAGCTCGCGTGCCTCTCAACCACAACGCAGGAATAGGCGGGGATCCGATGCCGGAGTTCCTGAAAGTTGGGTAATGCCAAGACCCGCGGTGGGCGCAGAGGGCCCGTAGCGCCACAAAGCGCGCCCTTGCAGGCCTGGTTCAAGCTGGTTCAAGTAACTGGGACGCCCCGGAAGAAAACTCCGCAGAGTAAGTTCAACGTACCGAGTTATAGCCATCCCCGTGAAAGAGCGTGGTGGGATGAGGGACCTGGGAGTCAGGACAAGAGGGGAAAGAAGCAAGAGGTTCTCGTGCAGTACTTGGATTTATATACGGCTCGGGGCCCACTTCAACTTCTCTACTCATGAAGGCTGATACTCAACAAGACTGGAGCACGTCGACGTCAAACAACGTCACAGATCCGCGAAGAAGGTCGCCTCCGCTTCGACCTCGTTGCGGCCCTTCTTCCGCCGCCCCGCCTGCAGAACGTCCTTCTCCTTCTTCCGTTTCCGCTTCTTGGGCTCCGGCTCCGGCTCCTCGTCGCTGCTCGAGTCCGCATTCGCCTCGGACGCCTGGTCGTTGTGCATTGCAGTGTTGGACGGACCTGCGAGCGTTTCAACGGGGTCGTCGTCGTCGTCGGAACCACTGCTGGCTGCATCATCCCCATCCCCCTCCTCATCGTCACTGTCCTCGTCGTCTCCGCCATCCTCGAAGATCTCCTGCAGGTCCGTCAACTTCAAGACCTCTTCGTGTCCGACACTCCCGACCCAGCGGCCCTCGCCATTCATGTCTACCGCGATGCGTTCGATAGGGAACTCGCCATGATCGGCGACGACCCCAAGAAGCTTAGACGGGAAGAGCTGCACAGCGCGGAGGATTCCGTCAGACGAGCCCGTCAGGATCGTCGACTGCGCATTGGGGTACCGAGAGGGTATTGCACAGAGCGCGTCTATAGACTGCGGATGCCTAGAACACAGCATATGGGCGTGAGAGAGGATCGTCAACGGTCAAAAGGAGCGATCACATATACCCAGGTATTCGGTCGACGCAGTCGCCCCATCCGCTTTTCCGGTTGAATATGGACAGTATCCCGAGCTGGGTGCCTACTACCGTTTTCTCACCACTGTACGGGATCGTGTCAGTAGCGTACAAACCTGCAGAGAAGTTACGTACCCCTTGATGGGCAATACAGAGAGGAGCTCGTCTTCTTGGTCTTCCGACTGTGCAACGGGTTCGAGCTTCTTCGAGCGAACATCCATGACAGACAATGTTCCGTCACCGCTAGGGAAGCGGTGAGCCAAGCCGGGGCAAAAAGCGCACGGAACACACACCTCGTCGCGACCAGCTGCTTCTTGTCCTCTAACCACATGAAATCCGAGATGAAGTCAAAATGATGTGTGTACTTCCGGACAGCGTCCTCTTTACGCGGGTCCCATAGCTAACGCAGATAGAGTCAAACTACGAGCAACAACGTAGGTCATGTTCAGCACGCACCTTGATGACCCCGTCATCGTCCCCAGAAGCCACCAAGTGTGGCAGGACCCGCTTCATCCGGTTGATGGGTGCACTTGCAAACACTAACCACGTCGGCGACGACGAACACACAACCACAACCTGCAGAGATCGAACTTACTCGTGTGCGGCAGCGCGGGTCTCCGCGACCTCTCCCGTCCCTATGTCTATCGTGCTTCAACGCACTCAGTCTCTCTCTCTCGCGCGCGCGCATTGTTGAACCGGTATTGAACTCACTAGATAACTTTTGCCTTTCCTCCAGCCCACGCCTGTGCCCCGTCCTCGCTCATCGCGAGCGTCCTGCACGACCGTTTCGACGGCCGCGCGGAAAACTTCTCGTCATGGTTCCCCTGCTCGTCGTAGCTGAAAGCCTTTACGTATCCAGTGAGAAGTCCAGTCAAGACTAGAGGTCGGCTTGGATGGAACGCGAGGTCAAAAATCTGCGCGCCGACTTGTATGTCAGGCATGGCAATGAGTCCGACAAACTCTAGGACAAGAGCAGACAAGAGTGACTGATGTCACGGAGCGCCCATGGGGTACTTGACATCCATTGTGACTGGCTGGATATCACTGCGCCCGAGTCCTCCAAACGCAGGCGTGCTCACGATGCGAATTCTGAATCATCGTCAATGCGAACATTGCAGTAAAACCCTGGGCGAGTAAGGATGGAATGTGCCCTATCAATCGTGCACTGAAGTCAAAAAACAAAAGGGCCCAACCGGGAATTGAACCCGGGACCCCGCGCATTCTCCTTCGTCATCGAAAGGGGAGAACTCCCGAAGCGCGTATCATACTACTAGACCATTGGGCCGTCGTGTCAAATTCCCTAACAACGAGTTGTATCAAGATGAGCTACGCCTGCGGACACTTGGGTTCAGTCGTGGCCGTGCGTAGCGTACTTATTGCTTCCGCTAACTGTTCTTCCACCACTTTCCCCGGATCCACCATCGTCCCCGGACTGCTGCCCTCTACTCGCATGGCATGAAACCGCTATCCGCATTATCCGCTCTCGTTGTCACCGCTGGGCTATGTCTCGCTGAAGTTCTCTCACTCCGGTCCAGCCCCGGCAAAGCCCTCTCGCCTCACGTCAATGTTGTCAAGGATGGGCCTCCGTTCGGAGCGGGGAACGAGGACTTGGAGCTTGTGGATATTGTGCTCGTAGCCTCGGTTGATGGCAAGCTTCATGCGCTCAACAGGACATCCGGAGCCCCGCTATGGTCCATGGCATCGTCTGGTACGGCTCCTGCTGCCTTTGGACCCCTTGTCCGCACCGAACATCCCGAGGTCGACCCTGACTTGACCGACGACGACGATGCAAGCAGGGAAGTCTATGTAATAGAACCCCAGTCTGGCGACATATATGTCATGTCCTCGCCCGACAGCCCACTCCAGCGTCTTCCCTTCTCCATGTCTCAACTCGTTGACATGTCTCCTTGGACTTTCGCTGGTGACGACGGGAGAAGGGTCTTCGTGGGCAGCAAGGAGAGTTCCCTCCTCCTGATCGAACTCGAGACAGGCAAGATCAAGGCTACCGTGGATCCCAAGTGTCCATGGCAGCCATTCGAAGACCTGTCCGAACACTCGCAGGACATAGATCTTGACGAACTCGAAGGCTCCAAGCCTACACGAGATGCTGTCAAACCGAGGGAGGTATTCATTGGACGCACAGGTAAATACCCAGGTCAGTCACTACGGCGTGGCCGCTCACGCCCCCCAGATTACCACATAGCCATTCATACACAATCTTCCAAGTCTTCCGGCGGTCGATCCCACGTCCAGAGACTATCGTTCTCCACATACGGTCCCAATAATCAGGACCATGTACTCCAGTCTATCTATCACCGCACCGCCGACAACACATACATACAGTCTCTTCCCACCGGGAAGATAATCTCGTTCAAGACCGCAGCAGCCGAGTCTCCCGAGTCCGCTACAAACGCTGATCTAATGTGGATGCAGACGTTCTCTAATCCTGTGTAGGTGCTTTATCAATTGCCAGCTCCTTCAGAGCTAACCATATAACAGCGTTGCCACCTTCGACGTCCTCCAGTCTCCGAAACGAGACAACCCATTCGTCCTCCTGCAACCCCAACCGCGCTTGCAGGAAATCCTCTCCGCAGATGACCTCACCTCTGCGGCCAAGAACAAGCGGTTGCCTAACATCGATTCTGCATACGTTGGACTCATTGAAGAGAGTGGGTCTTTGTATGCGATGAGTCCAGACCGCTTCCCATTCGTTGTCTTCCGCGACTCTGCTGACGTGAACGACGCCGGACATTGGCGGTCCATTGATCCTCCTCCCGGATCATCCCCCGACTCCAGCGACAAGGATTACCCACCTGATGTCGAAAGTATCTCTCGAATTGCCAAGGCGCGCAGGCTACGGGAAATGTGCAAGAACGGCGCCTCCGACATTCGGTGCTTGACAGGAGTAAGGAAACTCGGCTCAGACAGCCAGTCCAGGCTGAGTCGTCTCCTCGACGGTGCGCCCTCCGTGCTCCCACCCCCATCTCCTCTTCCACACCGTAACTCCAACGAGGTGGAAGTGCGCGATGAGCCACCTGTACCGGATTCCCATGCTCCAGATACCGACAATACCCCCGTCAAGCCACCTCCCCCATGGGGTAACTCCTCGGAAATTCCTGGCCTGGAGGATAAGCCAGTCGCGCGACTCGTGGGAATGAGCGGTTCCACGCAGGCTTTCTCCGCGTTCGCACTTTGTGCGATTGTATTGCTCGTGTGGATGTCCGTCCGGAAGTTTTTGTCGTCTAGCCTTCCTCCACAGGTCAAGGTGTCCGTCCCGACGCCACCCCCGGAGGTCCGCGAAGAGAATACTAAGCCCGTGGGGGAGCAGCCCGCGTCAGAGTCCAAGGAAGAGGTCGCAAATGGCCATGCTGATCCCTCCGTAGAGGATGTCGCTACCCCTCCTGCTGAACTTCCAACAGCGAAGAGAGTCTTGTTCGCACCGGCGGCGCTCGAGCCCGTCGCAGAAGCTGTCAATGACGCGGCCGAGGGCGACGACTCCGACAAGGAGGGGGACGCAGATACGCCGGGCAAACGGAAGGGAATCCGACGGAAGCGGGGCAAGAAGAAGAAAGGCCCAGTCGCCATTGCTCTCCCGGCGGACGAGGTTGAGGGGATTGTCGTTGCGGACCCTACACCAAATGGCGTGCAGGAGACACCGAAGAATCCTGTGCCGTCCATTGTTCTTGCACCTTCGACCCCTGCTGCACCAGTCGTTCCGACCCTGATCGTCTCGGACCAGGTTCTCGGTACGTTAGGTGCTCGTTTTTCTTTTTGGCATCGCGCTCACTCGCTTGTGCATATAGGCATGGGTTCACACGGAACAGTAGTATTCAAAGGCTCACTGCAGGGACGCGCGGTGGCCGTCAAGCGAATGCTCGCAGACTTCGTCACGCTCGCCTCACGCGAAGTCAACATCCTCCAGGAGTCAGACGACCACCCGAATGTCATCCGGTACTACTACCAGGAGGCACACGCCAACTTCCTCTACATCGCGCTCGAGCTATGTCCCGCGTCGCTGGCAGACATCATCGAGCGCCCGGACCAGTTCCGCGACGTCGTCGTCGCCTTCGAGCCCAAGCGCGCCCTGCGGCAGATCACCGCCGGCCTGCGCCACCTCCATGCGCTCAAAATCGTTCACCGCGATATCAAGCCTCAGAACATCCTCATTTCGGACGCGAAGAAGGGGGTGGGCGAGAACGCGGGCCACCGGATGCTCATTTCGGACTTCGGGCTCTGCAAGAAGCTGGAGTACGACCAGACGAGCTTCCTCCCGACCGCGCACGGCTCGATGGGCGCGGGCACGGTTGGCTGGCGTGCCCCGGAGATTCTGAGGGGCGAAGTGAAGTTGGACGACGCTGGTGACGAGTCACAATCGTCGAGGGGGAGTGTTGGTACGGGCTCGGGCACCCCGGGCACGCCGTCAGGGAAGCCGACGCGGCTGACGAAGTCGGTGGACATCTTCGCTCTGGGGTGCTTGTATTACTATGTGCTCACGAACGGGCTGCATCCGTTCGGAGATCGGTTTGAGCGGGAGTTCAACATCCGGAGGAACGCGAAGAGCTTGGACGGGCTGGAGCGGTTCGGGGAGGAGGGCTTGGAGGGGGTTGATCTGATCACGAAGATGTTGAGTCCGGAGGCGTATGACAGGTGCGTTGCTCGTTCGCACAAGCCCATGTCTTGGACGCTGACTGTTACTGGGACTAGGCCGGACACGAGTACATGCTTACTCCACCCGTACTTCTGGGATCCGGGCAAGAGGTTGACGTTCCTGCAAGATGCGTCTGACCGGTTTGAGATCATGTGTCGGGATCCGAAGGACGCGAACCTGCTCGCGCTCGAGAAAGGCGCGTACGAGGTCGTCGGTGCAGACTGGCACTCGCGGCTCGACAAGCTGTTCATCGAAAATCTGGGCAAGTTCCGGAAGTACGATGGGAAGTCCGTTCAAGACCTTCTGCGTGCTTTGCGGAATAAGGTGCGTTGCTTAATGGGTTTGGGTGTGTTGCGTGGACAAGGCTGACGTAGAGTGCCGTTGTAGAAACACCATTACCAGGACCTCCCGGACAATGTCAAGCGGCTGCTTGGATCAATGCCTGAAGGCTTCCTTGCCTACTTCACCCGTCGCTTCCCCAGACTCTTCCTTCACGTCCATGGCGTCATCTCCAACTCTACACTGCACACCGAGTCGATGTTCCGCACGTACTACGAGCTCAAGGACTAGAGCTAGAGCTGCAATCGAGCCTCTCTATCGCCTGTATCCGGCCCTTTCCCCGTCATCGTCTCCGTCGTCCCGTACTCGCGTCTCTGTTCCCATCGCATCTCCCTATTCCCCCTCTTCCCATATCGTCGCATGTGCTTCGTGTCCGCCCACACATAATTATCCGCAACCATTCCGCATCTAGGTAGCTTGTTTATTCGTCATACTGCTAAGTACTGTATCTGTATCGCATCGCTGTGCTGTTATTGGAACCTGCAGAAGTTTACCATCATGCATGTACCTGGTACTCCCATCGGATTGTGTCGGTCGTATGGAATGTAGATAGTTTGGATAGTGTCAAGTTTAAACCAAAGCAACGACACAAGCAGCTGAGCTTACGTAACCCCCAAACGTGTAAGTAGTGCGTATCTCCCTCTTTTCTGACCATCATCTAGGTTCTTAGGAACTCAGTGACTCCCATCCTCTGATGACATTTACTGCGAACTTCTGCACGCGGTCTGTAGCCAGGAAGTCGAGGTTGGTGTCGGCAAACGGCAGTCACTAGTCAAGACTGGAAACGGCGCTCGGGACGGATCATGGCCTCCGTCACTCCGTCCGCGTCAAGCAGCGACGAGACGTCGGTGTCGGTCATTCTCATACCACCATGATCTCACGGCGCGCACTCTCTTCTCTGCGACGCGCCCCGCTCGCTCGCGGTCTCTCATCACGCGCTTCTGCGGTCCTCTCCGCCTTGGACCTCAGCACGGAGAACGAGCTTCATGGTGTGTACGATGGCGAGTGGACTGGGTCTGGCGAGATCTTCGAGAGCGTGTGCCCAACGACGGGCGAGGTGCTCGCTCGTGTCAAGTCGGTGAGTGTGTCATGGGCAGATAGCTTGGGGTGCGCAGGTCTCATCTAGACGCAGGCCACACCGGCCGAGTTGCAACGCGCATTGGAGCGGACGAGAGAAGCGTACAAGACCTTCAGGCTCGTTCCTGCACCCAAGCGTGGCGAAATATTACGGCAAATACGAGAGGCACTGGCAGCGAAGGTGTGGACACTCCCGTGGGGGTCGCGCGAGCTTCGTGACT